ATTCCATAGTGTAAGAGTGAAATTATCTTCTATCCCTACTCTTTTTTTAATTACACAAATCTCATATTTTTAGGCATTGCGGATACATAACTCAGGATCTGGATACATTATTATTGATACATTATATCATTATGTATCCATCTGTTGAGCTTATTAAGGGGGGGGGGGGGGGAACTAAAAATTAAATTAAGATCACATAATATCCATCTGTTGCGCTAATTAAGGAGGGGGGCGGGGGGGGGGGGGGGGGAGGACTTAAAATCAAATTAAAATTCTATAAATTGTGCTATTCCATTCCAAATTACTGTCAACAATTCAGTCATATAGCGTAAAGGAACCAAAAAAAAATTCAAAATTCAAAATTCAAATTTCTTCTTCTTGTTCATCGTTCTCTCTGTTTCATCCATAGTAAGAAGTTTCATAAAATACATAATGAATATTTTGATTTTGCTGAGGCATTCAGGAATCTGGGAAAGTGAAGTTAGATATGAATGATACAAAAGTGAAGGAATAGATGATACAAATAGTACGGAAGTGAAGGTGAAGCAGTTGTACAAGGATAAAGCTACTCTAGTGGCTGTAATGGCAAAATATAAAATACATAACTTCAATTTTCGAGTTAAAAGATTTGATTAAAAAAGGCACGCAACACATATTCTTGTCCTTTAATCATTATTTTTTCATTCATGAATTTGTATACTGATCTATATGTTATGATACATTGATGGTTAGAGTTTGATACATTAAAAATTTAACGTACATGTTATAGGTTTTCACATTGTGAGTTAGTGTAATGTTAATATAAAGTATCAGATACATGTGAATTTCTTTTTTGATTTTTGAATTTGTATATGCATACATAAATCATGATACATTACTGATTTCAACTTGATACAATTCTAGTTTGATGTATATTTAATGATTTTTTTTATAGCTTTGAGTAAATGTGTTATTACTATAATGTACCAGATACATGTGAATTTCTTTTTTATGTTTATGTATCAATATTGAATTTCTTTTTTGTAATGTATCGGTGTTCAAGAGAATATATTGTTTTAATGTATCTATTATCCACTTTAGCATGTATATTAATTTTTTTTTTGAATGATACATCTATTTATTCAGCGTGTGAAGGTGGGCGAAGATACACTATTTGCCTTGAAAATAAAATTTATAATTGTGGGAGATTTCTGCATGACGAATACCTTGTGTGCACACAATTACTGCTTTGAAGAGCAAAAATATTACAGAGATACATCCCTACTTCTCGAATTACTACAAACTAGCTGCATTAGCAAACACTTATGAAGTTCCAATGGTTTCAATGCTGGATAACGACGATTGGTCAATATCGAAATTTGTTTGGAAGAAATTATCTTGTCACCTAGGTATAAATGGATGTCTGGACGACCAAGGAAAAGAAGGGGAAAAAATCCAGATGAAAAGATAAGCACAAACATAAACTGTTGTGGACAAGAATGTTACAACCGAAAAACGTGTACTTTCTTTCCGAAGAAGATTGACAAACTCTTTTTTGCGAACATTGTTATGTTTCAGATCATTATTTTGATAGTAGAAATTTTCAATTTTTGGATTTTTTCACTATTACCTTGATAAACATTACAATTTGCTATTAGCTGATGAAATTCTAATATAATAAATTGACATGTTAATATTTTCAATATTGTGTTCATTTCAGCCACATATTATGTTTCATATACCTTTTTTATATACTGTATCATTCTGTAGTTGATAATAATGTACCAGAGATTATGTTTGTGAATATGGTACCACTCAATATGTTTTAGATGCAATTTTATATAATGTATCTGTTGTAGTTGATAATGATGTATCTCATACAATAAAGTTGTGAAAAAAGGAGTTTTGTGTTGAACTTAAAGTAATGTGATTTTGAAGATTTTTAGAAATGGGACGGAATAATAGGAATTATGGAAAATAAAGGTGTGTGTATATAGGTAATTTTCCCTTAATTAAAGGGGAACTTTCGCATATAATTACTCAAAAATAACTTAATTACGTACACTCTATAGTTATAGTTTGCTAATTACGATTCGTAGCTACATGTTATAGCGAGGAGAGTGAAGTAACGAGCGAGATTGGGAAAGGGAGGAGAGAGCAAGCAAGAGAGGGTAGAGAGTGGAGAGAGACAAATTGTATATGTATATATGTATATATGTTGAATTGTATATGTATATAATAATTGTATATATATGACTTATATACATATGTATTTGTATACCTGGTGAGCGAGATTGGGAGAGTCATGAGAGGGAGAGCGAGATTGGGAGAGAGAGAAGAGAGGCAAACGAGAGAGGGCAAAGATTGGAGAGAGGCAAACTGTATATGTATATCTATTAGATAATTGTATATATATATATATATATATAATTGATATACATATGTATTTGTATATCTGACGAGAGAGATTGAGAAATGAAGGAGAGAGGTGAGCGAGATAGGGAGAGAGGCGAGCGAGAAAGGTTAGAGAGTGGAAAGAGGCTAATTGTATTTGTATATATGTCATGTAATTGTGTATATATATATATATATATATATATATATATATATATATATATATTGTATAATTTGTATTTGTATATGTATAAAAGAAGACAAGTGACGTAATTAAAACAAAATTAAGTTGCGAGATGTAATTTAATTCAAACTATAGCTATATTGGCGAATTAACTATTATATTTTTGTTTTTCCGCGCGTACTTAATTTTGCAATCCAAATTATTGTAATTGTATATATGTATAATTGATATACATATGTATTGTAATTGTATATATGTATTCAAACTATATATTTGTTTTTCCAATACATATGTATATCAATTATATATATACAATAGTGGAGTAGTACTTTTTCCGCGCGTACTTAATTTTGCAATCCAAATTATATTAGACCATCTCCAACCCAACACCAAATTCTAAATTTGGTGTTTTGAGCTCCAACCCACACCAATTCTTACACCAAATTTGGTGTGTGAATATTGTTACACCAAATTTGGTGTAACACTATTCATCACACCAATTCACTTTTTGAATATTTTAATATTATTTCATTATACAAACTTTTTTTTTTTGGTAACTGTAATGTTTTATTACCAGATTTTCAATATGTACAAAGTTTGGATACTCTGGATGTGGACATCTTCCACTCTCAGAGCCCAACTAATTCAAAGAAAACTTTCCTGCTAGTTTTATTCTAAGGATAGAAGTTAAGCTTTTGCATAAAACATATAAATCTAGGTATCATACTAGCTCTACAATGTATGTCTTGTATGATTGTTCTAGTGATCAACTCCATGTTCCTCTCCTTGTCTTGAAAGATCCTGTAGTTCCTCTCTTGCCAAAAGTAGTATATTGTTACTGCAAGAGTCATTTTGTATACTTCTGCTTGTGTGGTTTTGTTTTAAGCATGCTCTACAGCCCATGTCAGTTCTTCACTCCATTCATTACTGACTCTATTTATTGCTAACCAGTGCAGAAGCTTTTGCCATAGCCCTTTTGAGAGTCAACATGTGAAGAATAGATGCTGGTGCGATTCATTTTCTTCCTTGCAAAGTGGACATATTACTTTACTTGTGATCCCCCATTTTTCCAATCTATCTCTGGTGTATAATCTTCTTTGAATAGCCAGGTACAATGCAAATATCCATTTAGGATTTCCCTCGTTATTGCAATTCATTCTCCTCCACGGAACCTTTATATACTCCCATCTTAGCTTCTTATACATTTCGTTATACAAACTTTTAATTAAACATTATATAAATTGTATGTTTTAATTAAATCTCTTGTATATTTAATTATTTTTTATGTAATATTTTTATAATATTAATTTTAGATATAAAATTTAGCTTTTTTATAAATTAATTTTTTTGTATATGCCTTTTAAAAAAAATTAAATTTATGTTAATTCTACTATAAATTATAATTGGATATAACTACAATTAACCTTCACAAAAATTAAAAATGCAAACATATAAATTTTTAAACAAATAATACAATATACTTAAAAATAACCGAAAATAATAAACATTCAACAAAATAGTAATTGACATACTTAAGAAGTGCTATATGATATATTAACTTCATGTATTATAATGCACAACATGATAATTAAGGATGAACGTGATCTTAATGCACCAATTCAAGATGCGTCGGAAGGTCCAACTCCGACCGTAGAAATGACATTAGATGAAAATTATCAATTTCAACAATTTCGAGCTCGATATAAAAAATAAAGAACAAAGAAGCTCATTTTGAACTACGTAATGCATTAATACAACATTTATGAGAGTACCGTAGTGATCTTGAAAATTGAATATTTATGTAGAATTTCAAATATTTTTTTTAATTATGTAATGTTTATTTAATTGTATTTCATTAATGATTTCACTTTTATTTGTATTATCCATTATTATGTATAATGTATAATATTTGCTAGCAATTTATATTATTTAAAAAATTATGTTACAAAATAATTTTATATTAAACGATTATAAAAGGAAATAATATAAATTATATATGGTGAATTTTTTAGAAAGAATTTGTTTTATGAAATAAGAAAATATAAATGAAATAAGAAATAATAATAATAATATAATAATCAAGAGATAGAAAAATATAAAATTTTGATGTAGTGGGTTGGCGTTGATTACACCAAAAATTGTACTGATACTAAATTTGGTGTTTGGGCTTAGGACCATGATTTTCCTTTTCACCAAATGATATTTTTTTTAGAAATAAATTAAAAATTAAAATAGCCCTTCCCCTATCTCTCACGAAACCCTCTTCCGAAATCCCAAAATAGGCCTTCCGCCTCCGACTTCTTTCGTGCTTGCCGGAAAATCCGTTGTCATTCTGTTCGTCGGTGATGATAAGAACAAGTTTGGGAGACATGGGAATAGACTTGTTAACGTGCAAGATTTTTTCGAAGTTGTGCAAAATTAATTATTACGATGGTTGTGATTCCATTGTGCAGACGGGAGATGATTCATACAAATTTCTATATGGTGATCAGGCTCGGCATTCGGATTTGAAACGAGCTATGGCTAGCGCTGGAGAGAATAATCTAAATGCTACTAAGTTACGTGATACAGATCTGGACAACCTTGATGGGAAACATACTGTTTCTGGAGAGCGGAACCTTCCTTATGCTGAGATAAAACCCCGTGTGCTCTGGGTTTGTAATTTGAATTCAGTAACTGAAGACGAAGACCTATATACAATCTTCTCACGCTTTGGAACCGTGGCATCTGCTGAAATTATTAGAGATCGCGAGACTGGGGATAGCCACTGTTATGGTTTCATTGAGTTTGAGGACAATGAGGCCTGTGAGTTAGCATATTTTAAGATGATTAATGCTGTAATTGATGATCGAAGGATACACGTTGGTTTCAGTCAGAGTGTCGCAAAGTCATGGAACCAATATTGAACAAGACAGCAAGCAGCATGAGATGGTAAGGCTGATAGATATTAGTTTAAAGATTTTGAGTTACAGTTTTAGCTATAACTATATGTTAAGCCTCTTTTTTCCAGATTCAGTTATGCTTACTTTGGCATTAACAAACCTTTAACCCCACAAAGATTAGTAATGTTTTTATTGCTTTCTGTTGCTTCAACTAACAACTAATTAAAAAATAACTTGCATAGTTAGTTCCAATACTCAACAACAATAATATACCCAATGTAATCTCGTTAATTGGTTGCCTTCTTCTTTGCACCCCAAGAATCTACAAAAGTAAATGCTTTGTTAGTAATGCAGCTTCTTCTTCTTGAATAAAGTAACATAAAAAGAAATCCATGCACTTAGTTTAAAGAAAGATCCTCAAAGCATTATGTCCTAGGCTCATTCATTAGTAATTTCACATGCTTAAGACAATTTATTTACCCCTTTTTATAGCTAGTAAGAACAATAAAGTTGTTCTATACATTATGGGGAAAAAAAGCTGAAAATTTGGGAGCTAACGGCTGCAGCTGAACCAGTAAGACCATGAAAATCTTAATACTCTAATGTTAGTCAGGATAGAGGCACTACAACTCTGTAAGATCAAATAGGAAGTGATAAAATTCCCAGAATGCTATTCTGGACTTTTATCAATTTGTGACCTGTGACCACTTTCTGTCTTTCAAATGACATGCGTTCTGCATTATTTACAACAACAACGTACCTAGTGTATCACAAAAGTGGGATCTGAGGAGGATGATGTGTATGCAGCCTTACCCTATTTTGTGAAGGTAGATAGATTGTTTCCGTTAGACCCTCGGTTCAAGTAAAGCATATCAGAATCAAGTATGGAAAGGAAATACAATAGTGAAAAAGTCATTCTGAAAATAATTTTCGCATTACTTCCCATTAAGCTAAAATGCTCATTGAAGCATTATGAAAGCATCCAAGACTCAATTTCCAGATCAAGATGATTTCTTCCCACATTCAACAACTTTGGTAAATGTTTTCTCAATATTCTACAACTAAAAGAATCACCATGCTATCCATTCTTTTCGGATACAACAGTCAAATCCCAGAAGTGGGGTTTGGGATGGTAGAATGTACGCAAACCTTATCCCTCCCCGTAGAGATAAGGAGCATGTTTTGGGAGGACTCTTGTACAACAAATCAATCCACTCTATGGTATACAGTTCAAAATTTTCATGAAGTCACTATCTCAACGTTTGGACCATTTTCTATTTAATACAGTAAAAAATAATAATCAACATTTACCTTAATATTCATGTAAAACAAAGTAGCTCATCTTGAGAAACTCTTCTGAACCCTTAACAGGTTTGTTAGTTAGTTGAACAAATTCTTGGTGATGATCTTACTAGTTGCTTTCCAAGCTCCTGAAGCGTTGGCGACCTGTAATACATGAATCAAAGTACAAAATTTTGACAGAGATTTTGTTGGTTGGTTTGGGGGTGGGGAATTTAACTTAGCAAGCTTTTCTTCTACTATACGAATGGTAAATTTTGATATGCATCCACAACAGTATCGGAAACAACCTCTCTGCCTGCACAAGGTAGGGATAAGGTCTGGGTACACATCATCCTCTCCATACCACATTTGTGGGGTAACACTGAGTATGTTATCGTTGTTAACGATCAACAAAGAAGATGAGAGTTAGGCTAAGTCGATATCGCTTTATGTATATTAAGCATACATATGAGGTGATGAGCATCACTAGAATCTTGTTGTGGGCAAATAATGATACTTATTGATATACTTATACTTAGGGATGTTCATGGTTTGGATAAAAACCGATCCAAACCAAAAAATCGAACCAAACTGATAAAATAAAACCGATTTTATTTGGGTTTGGTTTGGTTTGATTTGGTTTTAGATTTTTGAAAATCGATAGTATTTGGTTTGGTTATGGTTTTATTCGAAAAAACCGAGCCAAATCAATGAATTATATACATATATTTTATTAATATACATACTTAATATATTATTTTTATAAACAATTTTAAAAATCTTATATATGTTTTCATTATAATTTACTTATTGAAAGCAAAAATGCCCAAGGTGAAAATATTTATTTTATTGATTTCATGTATAAGAGTGTCTATGACAATTCTTTGTCAGACTGAAAATGTTAATGTCTCTTCCTTCTAAGCCAATATAGTGAATTTTAAAGCTTTAATCTTAATAAATTCAGTGATCGAAAGTTCAATAATTTCAGTCATTCTAACTATTTTTTTTTTGTTTTGAATGGATTGTTGTCACTTTTTTCACATTTTGAATGAATTTTTTCTTTTATTTTTTTTATGGTTAATAACCGAACCAAACCAAATCGAAACTGATAACCACAAAACCGATAAATGTATATTATATTTGGTTTGGTTTGGTTTGGTTTTGATAATTTTAAAATCGATTAAGTTGGTTTGGTTTTGGTTTTGACCAATAACCGATCAAAACCGACCCGTGAACACCCCTACTTATACTATAGTATTTGCTGCATTTTTTTGTGCAGATCCTGATCCTAAATAGTACTAGTCGAGTTCGGGAGTGAGTGATGAGAAGTTGATCGAGACTGTCATGTTCTTATCATTTTGTTGAGATATTTGTACTAAAGTGTTTTAGAATCTCACTTGTATTACCATTTTTAGGGCTGTTTTGGTCTGTTCACACTGTTTTAATTCTAAAACTCTTTAATTTATCTTTTGAAAGTTACTATTAGACTTATTCACATCTCTTAAATTTTATGTTTTGGTTTGAAATAATTTTAGGGTTTGCCAAACGAGTTGGGGTTAGGTATCTTCGTGACTTAGAATAATTAGATCATGACATCAGCAAATTATAAGAAAATTACTTTAAATTGATCACTACTAATGTTGTTTCTTTTTTATACCTTGTATTCTTTCTTCTTCTCTAATGGCCTGAATTGGACCCATAATAATTAAAATTCAGGATACAAATCAAAATGAGTCGATTCACTAGTAATCCTAATCAAACTCACTGGATGACAATGAAATGTGTGTTGGCATATTTGAAACATACACAACACTATGTCTTGCATTATAATAAGGGAAAATGCATAAGTACCCCCCTAGCCTATACCCGAAATCCCAGAGACACACCTAACCTTTACTAAGGTCCTATTACCCCTCCGAACTTAATTTATCTATAATATTCTACCCCTTTTCGGCCTACGTGGCACTATCCTTGAAAATTTTGTCAAGATGCGCTAGGCCCACTAGATAGTGCCACGTAGGCCAAAAAGGGGTAGAATATTACATATAAAATAAGTCTGGGGGTAATAGGACCTTAGTAAAGGTTAGGTGTGTCTCTGGGATTTCGGGCATAGGCTGGGGGGTACTTATGCATTTTCCCTTATAATAAATATTTTGCCGTGATTGAAGGGTATAGTGATGCAAATTGAATCACCGGGTCAAATGAAGTAAAAATCACAAGTGGGTGTGTATACACTTGGTGGAGGAGCAGTCTCTTGGAAATTGTCCAAACAGACATGTATCGCTCGCTCTACAATGAAATTTGAATTTATTATCTTAAATAAGGCCGGTGAAGAAGTTGAGTAGCTCCGAAATTTATTAGAGGACATTCCATTTTGGCCTAATAATTTCATTAGAAATCAATTTTTAAAAATAGAAAAACTTTTTTTTCTTTCCAATCATGTCAATAAAGTCATGAAATTCTTTGTTTTAAATGTTCATATCGCAAAGAAATATGTTCGGATTTACTATCAGATTACAATGCATGAGGATAATAGGCATCCGCGCATTGTTGGCACAATGCTATGTTTAACAAGAGCTATTTTGTCTCTCCTCCTACCATTGTTAAAGCAATAAATTCAAATTTCATTATGCAACGATTTGCATGTCTCTATATATGGAAAATCGAACTAGACATTTAACTTATTATTATTTGCACTAGTTCTTTTGGTATGCAAAAGGTGTGGCATGAAATCTTTAATTGTTTTTTCTTTCTTTTTCTAATTCTACAAAATAATATATAATATATAAACGTAAAATAAATTATAAAATTTATTATATAAAAAAAATTCTTAAATGAAATTTAACCAAACTTATGAAATATGCTAATTAATTAATAAGAAATATATTGGTAAATATGTATTTATGAAAATTATATTTTAGTCTTGTGGAAAATAATTCTTTGTTTCTGCTTCTGTTTTTTAAAAAAAACATAAATTTTTAGCTTCTTCCATTTAAAAGATGTTTCTGCTTCTATTTAAAAGCATTTTTACTGATTTGTCAAATACTTGATTTTTCAACAAGATTGTTTTTTTCTCAAATTAAGTGTTTCTAGCCCCCAAACAATAATGTCAAACATGCTCTAAATCATAAGAATTTCTTGAATATAAATTCAATCATTTGTATTAATTTTTTTAGGCAAGATAAAAATTTATTGAAAAAAGAATATTCTTTATCAACTAAAGGATCGTATTTTTAAAAAGGCTTGATAGCATTTTGGTTCCAATTGTCGGTAATTTTTATTTCTTGCGATATCAAGTAAATATATTAAACATGTTCTCTTGCTTGTGAATCTTCACAATTTTTCATAACTATTAATTATTTTACTATTAATTAGTTGTATGTTATGTTAGTTGTATGTTGTTACTCCATATTTAATAAAACTATAATTTAAAGATAGTATATAAAGAAATCAAATATTATTTTAGATACGGAGGTTTAACTATGCTAATTTTAGAGTTACTACACAAGTGAAAGTAATTCTAGAGGTAAGGCATAGAAAAAACTCGGACTATGGTGAAATTGTCAGTTATATATGCATCTAAATTATATGAGGATTTTATTACTCTCTAAACTTAATTTTTTTCGTATTATTTACATTCTTAACTATGTGAGGATCTTATTAAACCCTAAATTTAATTGTCAAGATTGCACTGCTTTTTTTTTAATTAAGATGATGTTATTGCACGAGTAAATGCATTTTTGCAATGATTTTTGTATCTATGTAGTTGCATCACTCGTTTTGATATTTATAAAATTCTTCTTGACATTTTACACATGTTTTTTGAAGTTGTCATACTTGTAAAGTTGATATTTTATACATACTCCCTTTATTTATTTGGTCATAAAACTTGCTAATTGTTGTCCTTGCTCATGCCA